CGGTTTGCAGCCCATCGCCTACCTCAGTAAGAAGCAACACGGAGCAGAACTGAATTACCCAATTTATGACAAGGAAGCCTTAGCGATAGTCACAGCCTTCAAGGCGTGGAGGTGTTACCAAGAGGGAGCCAAGACTATACTGTCTACACCGATCACTGCAGTCTCAAATACCTGAAGTCGCAGCCGATGCTTTAACGACGACAAGTGCGGTGGGTGGACTTCTTGAAAACTCACTTCCAATACGACATCGTCTACAAACCCGGGCTACACAACAAGGCTGACGCGTTGAGCCGGCCCGGACATGTAGCAGGCATCCAGCTCGACGGGATGAACCCTCTGCTCAAGGGTCTATTCCAACATGGATACTCCGTGGACGCAGAGATCGCTACAGCACAGACTCAGAAGATGTTACAGTGGGAGAAAGACTTAGCTGTAAGGATGGGCACAGGAAAGATGTGGGTACCAAACTACGCCCCATTACGGCAGATCCTACTGGAGGAGTTTCACGACGTACTATACGCGGGACATTTTGGGAGCAACAAGACGTTAGCAGGGATAGCGAAGTATTACTACTGGTCCGGGATGGCCGCAGACGTGCAGCAGTTCGTCACCTCATGCGACACGTGTCAGCGGATGAAGGGTAGCAAAAAGCAGGGTTACTTCAGCCTCTACCCGTACCGGAGCAGCCATGGCAGGTCGTTAGCCTCGACTTCATCACGGGACTTCCTTCGACCTCACGAGGGCATGACACTATACTCGTGGTGATCAACAAGTTCTCTAAGATGGGACATTTCATCCCAACCAACGCCACGGCTACAGCTGAAGCAACTGCGCGCCTCTTCTTCAACCGCATCATCACCATCCACGGCATCCCCGCTACACTCATCTCGGACAGAGACCCAAAGTTCACTAGTAAGTTCTAGAGGGAACTCATGGGTTTGTTGGAGAAAAATCTTGCAATGTCTTCAGCGTACCACCCATAGACTGACGGACAGACTGAGCGACTCAATCAGGTGGTTGAATAGTTACCGCGCACAACTTGTAAAGACGACGTCAGCCACTGGGATCTACAGATACCGACCCTAGAGTTCCCTTACAACAACGCGTCACATGCGGCCACATGGAAATCTCCTTTCTTCCTATGTTACGAACAGAAACCACTTACACCACAGCAGCCAACCACACCAGCACGCGTCCAAGTCGCACATGACTTCGTCACCACCATGCAACAACTATGGGAGAAGACTCAGCGATGCCTCACCACGATGCAGACCTCCCTGAAGCAATATGTCGATCGCCAACGACTCTAACAGGTAATCTAACTACTTCCTCAGTTCGTCGAGCTCGGGTTGTGTCAGTCTGAAATGTCGCTGTACGGTTGGCTGTGCCCCCGGTTCTAACTCTATTCGGTGGTCGTGTGCTCGCTTAGGTGGCAGTCCCTCCGGTAAGTCGTCAGGAAAAATCCCCGGGTACAGTTTCAACAGTTCCTGTAGTTCGGGCGGTACCGCTGCGAGCAGTTTCTTGAAATCGCTTGGTTGCTCTGCTTCCTCTACCACTGCGATGTCCACTGCGTACACGTCAGCTCCAGCGGCGGCAGCCTGTTTCATTGTGATGGCGTTGACGTGGACCGTTGAAGACTCAGGCGACTGCCATCGAGGTAGGTCAACCCAGTTACCGCTACTTCGCACAGTGCAGCTACTCGTCGTCCAGTCAATTCGCGGGTTATACCGTCGCAGCCAATCACGTCCCAGTAAAATGTCGTGCCCATCCAATGTCGTCGCGAGCATTTCCAGTGTAAACCCAAAGTTTCCCCCGCAGCGGACTTTTACTCTCTCCACTTTCTCCCGTATGGCCAGCGGTGTGCCGTCAACTAAGCGTGCATCTATCTCCGGTAAACACCGACTAAGTGCCAGTTGCAGTTTTCCTGCAGTCGCGGTATTAACTAAACTGTGACTTGCTCCTCCGTCGATGAAAATCTTCACTGCTGCTCCCTGTATTTTCCCGTGAATCAGTACTGGGCAATCCGTCGCTGTACCCTCCTTATTCGTCCGAGCCCGATCGATGGCATGAATCGGTACTGTGACTCGGTGAGGGTCAGTGAGGTTGGGCGAGCAGGCAGTCTCGTCAGTAGTTGGCCTGATTCCTACTGACTGCTGGCGTTTCCCTGCCTTGGAGACTCCCTCCCCTGCTCTGCTCCGCGGCGCCTTAGCTCCTCTGGGCACTCACTCTTGCGATGGCCCGGCCTATTGCAAGCAAAGCAGCGCCCTTTAAACGGCGCGGCAGCTGCATTTGTCGCAACGGCATGTACGGTGGCGTGCTCGATCGGTCCCCGAGGGCGATGCCCGTAGTAGGACCCCAGTCTCGGTCGGCGTAAAATTTCGTTTTTCTCGGCGAGCGCGAGGATCTCGTTGAAGTTCGAAAGCCTGCGTAGCATGATTTCGTGCGAGATGTCCGGCTTCAGCCCTCCGACGTAACGGTCCACCCGCTCCGCTTCGTGCATGTAGCCGACTTGCTCACATAATGCGAGAAAACCGCTCGTGTAGTCTTGAACTGATCCGAGCTGTCGCCAAGTACGAAGTCTCTGACGCGCCGAAATAGAAGCCGCGATCGGCTCGAAGCGCGCCCGAAGCCCTGCGCACCACGCGTCCCACGTGCTGTATTGGGCGGTATCGCAGAATGAACTCCAGGTGACAGCTGGCTCCGTGGGCCCTTCCTCTTGCGATGGTGGCTCGTAGGCGCGTGGCGACGTCACAATGACTCGCCACTAGTCCATGGCGGGGCCCCTCAGCAGCGAGACGGCATATCGGATCTTCGCTGCGTCCGACTCGACGTAGTTCGCGTCAAAAAAGACGTTCATCGTGAAGACCCACGACTGAACCGTCGGACCTCCACGCTGGCTCGGGTCGAAACAAGGCGGGCGCTGCGGCTTGAGTGGCATCGGTGCCATGATGGCGTGGTCGCCACTTGTCGCCGCAAACTCCACGTGCCAACGGGCAGGCTCCCGCGGGCTTGGCGCGGCCCTGTTCCTCTCCATGCCAGGCATCGACGGCGCCATCACTGGCTGCGCCTGAGCGCTGTCCCACGCTGTCGTTTTGTGTCGGTGTGCCTTATGAAATGACGATCGGCTCCTCCGATTGTGCGGGTGCATTTGCAGGTGCGTGTGGTGGCGCTGGAGCATTCACCGTGGATTGCTGACGAGCGGAGTCGCGTTCCGCCGTAAGTGTCGCAATTTCGAGCGCCGAGTCTTCGATTTGGCGCACGAGACGGTCGAGTTGCTCCTGCGTCAGTGTCGCGAGAGTGAATTCGGCCATGGCGGGGGTGTCGGGCAAGCTCAGCGAGAGCCTCTGTCGTGGCCGTGCGTGCTTACGAGAGAGCACTACGAGCGGCGGTGCTTGTTTCGCTGAGAGACGTCTACCCCCCCCAAAAATTTTGAGATAGTGGGGAAGCGAAGGTGTGGGTGCGGTCCGAGAAGAGATCGTAGGCTCTGAATACCAAGTGTTACGAGTGCAATTGAGTGAACGAACGAGAATTGCACTATCGAAGCAAGAGTACAATGAGTGAAGGGATGAGCGAAGAATATATAGCGAAACTACAGTGGTAACGGTAATGCGTGAAAATGGGGTGCGCGGCGGGCCTGGAGCCGAGGTTGGGAAATGACGAGGTGGAGGTCCGGAGCGCGGGTTACCAACCGAACCGTGAGGTTGGGTCGCGTCGTGAACAGTGGCGGGAACAGTATCGAGGCGAATGTCGCGAGTGGTAACGGATTACTGTTGGGTCCCGTTGTACGCGCTGAGCAGGGACGCGAAGTAAGGAAAAAGAATTTTCCTTACAGTTTCCCACACTCTGATCTCACTTCTTGCGCGTCTAGTCAGCATGTGCTGTTATTCTGTCAGTATGAGTTGGCAGGGAATCACTACCTGCCAAGCTGCGCGAGAATCAGATTCGTGACCCTATACCGGTATGTTTGTGACTCGATTAAAATCGGCAGAACGAGATCTACAGTTTGGTGTAAAACAAATAGAAATTCATTATTGCCATTTTATAAACGCCGGCGCTTATAATGCTCCCTTCGATTATAAGCGCACCCCCTAAAAAACAGTGTTTTTTTATACCCCCAGGGGCGCTTCTATCCGGGGGCTGACGGTACTATGAGCTATAAATATACCTGCATGCCTACACTTGCTAGGTAATTATCACTGTGCTGTTTGCTCTCTTTTATATAACTTTGCATGTGAACTGGCCTTGTGGCCATTTGCTTGTGCTCAGAGTGTGTGGTGACGTCGTGATCCACCCTGAGCTTGCTTTGCTTTTCTTGACTGGTCTTGTGACCCCTTGTTCTCCCCCACTTTGCGTATGGGAGTGTGTCAAAATGTTATGATTCTCATATTGTGTAGGCTGTAGTGGGGTGGCCCCTAAGGGGTACAACCCAATTAGGGTTAGTACTCGTACCCACTTTGATCTTAGTTCACTCATTCTCGCTCACTATTCTGACAGGAATTCCATGAAAAAGACGAGTCTGTGCATAAAGGTGCCACAAAAATACTTACGTACAAGCAGCCAAGTCAAGCACAAGCACAAGCACAAGCACAAGCAGTAAATAACATCTACCACTTATCATGTGGTTACAAGGCACTAGGAACTAGACATGGTCAGACGGCAGCAGCGGGGGCGGCTGCTCTTTGCTGGGAGGCGAGTGTGCTGATGGCCTCTCCTGCCTCACAGATTCGCGCTGCCGCCTTCCTGCCTGACAGTGTGGCGCCCTCCATGCTGTCTATGTAGTCCTGCCAGGGGGAAGAATGGAAGGAGGGTGGAGGGAGGTGGTTGTGAGAGGATGATGCGAGGGGGATGTGAGAGGGGGATGTTAGAGGAGGATGTGACAGGTGGATGTGAAGGGGATCTGGTGGATTACAGAAATGAGGATGGTAAAGCGACCTGATGAGCGGGTGGAGCCAGGAATGGAATGGGACACAGAGGGGGGAGCGGGGGGACAGGGGGCGTACCTGCTTGGTGTAGGAGCCGGCGAGGAAGAAGTTGGGGACGGGGGTCTTTTGGTCGGGGCGGAACTGGTCGAGGCCGGGAGCCTCGCGGTACAGCGACTGGTTGATCTTCACCACCGAGTGCCACAGCAGTGTCAGCCCGCGCGCTGATGGGAACAGCTCCATCACCTGGCAACGCAGTGGGTGGAGAGAGCAGGGGCAGGGCGAGGGGGAAGGAGGGGGGAGTGGTTGGTTTTAGGAGGAAGCAGGTGGAAAGCATCAGGAACGCATGCAGATTGAGGCGTGAGAATCAAAGCAATCTAGACTGAGGAATGAGAAATGAAACATGTGAATTGGAAAATTGTGGATTGGGGCATGTGGATTGAGGCATGCGGCCTAGAATACTAGCAGAAGTGGAATCCAGGGCACGGGTTGCATGAATGACCTGTTCATTCATCTTGGCGACGATGGCCTCGTTGGTCATGGGCATGTAGGGGTCGGCTGGTGTGATCACCACCCTGCCATGCAGCGACACGATTCATGGAGGACGGGGTGAGTTGAGTAGACGAGAGGAAGCAGGCACAGGGGTTGCCAGGATGACAAGATATTAGATTGGCAAGTATGTGATTGCATGGAGGGAAAACGAATTGATGGGAGCAATGTTGAAGAGGGAGGGATGTGAGGGGCAGACCAAGCGAGATGAAGCAGTGCCCAAATGAGTTGCTCAGCATGGCCAGCACAACAAGCAAAGGACGCATGGTGGCGATGGGCAAGGCAGGTGTGGGCGGGGAGGGGGTGAACGCGGGGCGGGGCACTGACTGCATGAGCGAGCCCTGGCCCTCCTTGTAGTAGTCGTCGGGGCTCGTGAGCGCCAGGTCAGCGAAGCATGAGAAGTCCGCATCCGGCGAATAGAGCAGATTGTCCAGCCCTGCCGCCCGCGCCAGCTGCCTGCATGGTGGGGACAAGACAGCACAACACAGGAGCAGAGGGCGGCAGGGGAGGGGTAGAGGCGGTTGCTGGCATGACCAGACGGTGGACTCAGATGAATGATGAGGGCGATGCATGCAGTGGCAGCACAAGGGGCGGGGTGTGCAGGAGGAAGGGCAGAGGGCGCACCTAGAGAGTTCAATGTCATTCATCTCGGTGACCCAGCCATCGTAGCGCAGCTGCACGGTGATGACGGGCACGCCCACCAGCTCGTAGATGTCCCTGAACTGCGCCCACCGCTCCCTCCACTCCCCCGGTACCAGCCTCTTCGCCCCGGGCACGTCCAACGCTGTTGGTACAAGGATGGGAGGAAACGAGGAGCAGCATGAGAGCGACCGGAGCGCTGACGCAAAGTACAGAGGCAGGACCAGAAAAATGCTTTGTGTGCTTGATTGAATGGCAGACAGGCATGCATCTCTCCTTGTCCCTTCCAATTGCAAAACCCAGCCGGCAGGTCATTCCAGTGCATCAACCTGCCTCCCATGCACCAACCTGCCTCCGATGCACCAACCTGCCTCCCATGCACCAACCTGCCTCCCATGCACCAACCTGCCTCCCATGCACCAACCTGCCTCCCATGCACCAACCTGCCTCCCATGCACGCACCAGCAACATATGCATCTGCAGTCACAATTTGTTCCTTGCCTCCCGCCTGCCACGTAACACAGCAGGCAGCAGTGTAGGGAAGGCAAAGGTTTGTGGCACATGGAATGATAGGCGCACGGCAATGAAGAGCTCAGTTGGCATGGAACGGAAAGCAATGGACTCCACCATGCCACTGCCTGCCTACTCCTGGCCATTACCCCCCCCCCTTTCACCCGCATGTCCCACTTGCACCCCCTCGTCCCCACCTGCTTCATGCGCAGGCCAGTGACAACGGTGGAGCCATGAGCGGCGGTGGAGTAGAGCACCTCCTGGCATGGCTGCCGCACGTGGAACCTGCTCACGCACCACGAGGGGCACGTGGACAGGACAGCACGGTAGTGCGGGTGAGCTCAAGCAAGCCACACCGCTTATCATGCTCCCCTGCCAACCCGCCCACCTTCCCCTCCTCATCCTCCCCACTGCCCCAATGCTGGCCCTCCACAATCCATCTTCGAGGTGCTTGCATGCTTGCTTACATTTCATCCCAACACCTCCCAGCTGAGGATATTATTTGCACACGTCATAAAACTTCCACTGCTTCACTTCACTTTTCGTCTGTTGCTCTTCCACACTCCCCACAAGTGCAAGCCTCCGCAGTGGGTTATGCCGGTGGCTCACCTGCCGCCACGGTCGGTGATGTATTTGGCGATGGGCCCAGCAAGGAAGCGGTCGGGCGAGCCGCAGAGCATGCGCAGCACGGAGGCTTCGGTCTTGGTGGCGAAGAAGGCGAAGATGGTGAGCATGCAGCGCGCGCTGATGTTGTCGCAGTCTATGAACCCCAGCGCGTACGCCACCGGGTCCCACATGCGCTTGATGCTCTCCCTCGTGCCGCCGTGCGACGTGAACCACTCGCTGAAACTCACCTGCTCGCCCCCACGCAGCACAGCGGGGCAGCACAGAGGGGCAGCACAGAGAGGCAGCACAGAGAGGCAGCACAGAGGGGCAGCACAGAGAGGCAGCACAGAGAGGCAGCACAGAGGGGCAGCACAGAGAGGCAGCACAGAGGGGCAGCACAGAGAGGCAGCACAGGCAGATGAGGTCTGTGAATGACTGAAACGACAGCTATTGAAACGGTGGATGATTCCATCCATAGCATTCGCAAACGAGCGTGGCTTTCTCAGCAAGGTGAGAGAGCAAGGACCCGCATAGCCGAGGTGGGGGAGCGAGTGGGTGGGTGGGGTATGGAGATGGAGGGAGGGGGAAGGAGGGGGGCGACGTGTTGGGAGGGAGGGGAGGGGAGGGGAGGGGCGGGGCGTGCCTTGTCGAGGTCGCGGATGTCCTGGAAGGCGCCCTCGGGGTCCACCAGTGCGCGCACCACAGGGCTCGTCGCCAGCGCCAGCGCGTTGAACGCCTTGTCCACCGGCTGCACCGCGCATGGGGGTGGGGGAGGATGCACGGCTGATGATGTGATGAGGACCCCAATGAATCATCAACCCCTGGAAGTCACCCATCATGGAAACAGAGGCGCCGGTCACTGTGCTGCGCAGCCTCACTGGCGAGTGGACTTAATCTATCAAACAAGGGTGCATTTGGGAATGACAGGCAGCAATCAGCGTGCAGTGCAGCGCCAGAGTGGTGGCGGGGAATGAGTGAAGCGTGATAGAGATGCGCGCGGCGAGAGGGGCGGCTGACCGAGAGCTGGTTGGTGGTGAAGAATGCCTTGAGCCCGTGGAAGGGCGCGCCCGTTATGAACCGGAAGTCCAGCTCTGTGCACGCCATGCCATGCCATGCCATGCCATGCCATGCCATGCCATGCCATGCCATGCCACACGGACGCGTGGAGAGGGGGAGCGGGATGGGGGCCGGACCGTGAGGGTTGAGAAAACGAGGATAAAAATGGAAACCAGCTGGACGGAGAGAGAAGAAAGAAGGCGCGTGTGGTGCTTGGAACAGCATCTCCAGTGCAAACTAGCGTGGGTGACGGCAGGGGTGGAGGGCGGGCAGGGAGGGGCTGACCGCCAGTGACACCGCCCTTGTTGATGAAGACGTGTGTGTGCTCCTTGCGCAGCAGGTTGTCCACCGCCCCACTCTGCACACGCCACGGACCACGGTGGGAACACACATTCACAAAGCTCATGTTTGACAATGGTGACAAGTGCTTGGGCTACGAGGCGGAAGTAGTTGCGCTTGCCTTGGCCATGAGGCGGAAGAGGTTGTTGTAGCAGCCGAAGAAGACGTGCAGCCCCATCTCGATGTGGTTGCCGTCCTTGTCCTGAAAGCTCGCCACCTTGCCGCCTATGAACGGCCGCGCCTCGTAGATGTCCACCTGCTCGCACCCAACGCACGCACCGTGCACTCCGCCCGCGCACGCACATCCCCCATGCACGCACATCCCCCATGCACGCACATCCCCCATGCACGCACATCCCCCATGCACGCACATCCCCCATGCACGCACATCCCCCATGCACGCACATCCCCCATGCACGCACATCCCCCATGCACGCACATCCCCCATGCACGCACATCCCCCACGCACATCCGGTGCACGCCCGCGCATGGCATGTGGAAATTTCAATTAGCGTGAGAAACTGGTTTGAGCAACTTGAATGAGCAAGATTGCCACGCTACAGCGAGATCACACCACATGCGGCGTGCTTTCTTTTCAAGCGCCATTTCGTGCATTCGGTTCAGCCTTTCATTTGCGCCACATTCCAGCAGCTCACCTCGTGGCCCTGGTCGAGCAGCTCGGCGGCGGTGGACATGCCGGCCAGCCCCGCGCCCACGATGGCCACCTTGAGCTTCGGCCCCGTGTACTTCTCCGGCTCCGGCGGGAACAGCCCCTTGGGCGCTGCCGCGCACCGAGGGGGGGAACGGCGAGAGACAAGGGGAGACGGAGACAGGACTCAAAATGCAGCGAGACACCACAATTCGCGAGGGGCGTGCAGAACAGCAACGCCGCAGAGTTACAACGAATTCCACAAGAGGCGCAGCAGCAGTGCGTACCCACTGGTCTCTGGGTCTTTCCCTACCCGCCATGCTCATACCGCACGCGTTCTGCTTATGCCACACCCGTTCGGCTCATACCGTACCAGCTCGGTTCGGATCGTAGCTGCGCGGCTTATATCCTACATGCGCGGCTCCCATCCTATCCGCGCGCCTCATATTCTACCTGCCCGGCTCACATCCTATCCGCGCGATTTATGCGCGGGTGACATGGTACCGGCGCGGCTCATGTCGGAGACGTAGTCCATGATGGCGGACGCCCTCGTGACCGGCGCTGCCGCCGTCCTGCCGCTCGCCGCATTGAGAGGTCGCACCGCCACCTTCACCTGTGCATTGAAAAAGGGGGGGACGGGATGCGAGTGAGGGGAACTAGACAGCGGCGAATTGAGATAGCATACCCCAGCGGAAGCACGACAGGCGAGGGTGGCTGGAGCCGAAGGAATGAATCGGTGGTGTACCTGCCGTGCCAATAGGCGTCGACCTCCTAGAAGAGGCTGCGGCCAGCGAGTTTGCAGCGCGGCGGGTTGAGCGAGGGCAGCCATGGCGGACGAGGTAGCACTGGAGATGAAATGAAAGGCTGCTGCTTGCAAAAACTGCTGTGCTTGGGATGGATGTTGTGGTGTGTGCTTTGAGAGGTGCGTGGTAGAGGGGTGTGCACTGTGCAGTTCGTGAAAGTGCAGTTCCCGAGGGCGCAAGGACCAGGTAGTGAGGACGCGGTAAAAGTACTCGATCGGGGGGAGATCGATCCGGTCACCGCACTGAAACCCCGCGTTTGGCATAAGAAGGTACACAACCGTTTACAACCGCGGAAATAAACGAACCGGAGGCGATCGATTCGCGTCCTGAGGCTCAAGTCGAGAAACCTTTCCACGTCACCCTCAAGCATTGGAGCAACTCAGGATAACAAGAGCGTGGCTGTGAGCCGCTCACGTGGCACCTTGAGAGCCGCGACAATCAATTTCCCAGGTCCTTACCCAAACAAATTAACTGTACAAACGACTTCATCTACACACAGATCTCAAGCAATATATTCCAATTTCATTCTTATTTCTCACACCGTAACTTCATACCACTGTACGAGGAGATGCTTTACAAATTCTTAGCATTGAACATTGTTCACCAGTGCTCTTCATGCACACGGACCATATTTAATGTGTTAACAGCTACTCATTTGTGCATCAAATATGCAAATTTGGACCATAACTATCATTCTAAAGGATTGAACCTAAATGTATTCGGATGCACCAATCAGCAGCCCGTTTAAAAGAGCTGCACATATTTACAAGAAGTTGCAGCCCAAGCTCATACGAGCTCCCAGTCCCACTCTTCGTCTGAGAGTGGACCTTGAACTCGCTGCCCGTATGGAACAACGTCACCAACGCCTGTAGCTGCCTTTAGCTGCCGCTGGAGACGCAGCTGGGATATTAACTTGAGCAACAGCCCTAGGTTGTTGAGGCAGCTGCCTGTAGGGAAGAGGAAGGCCCGTGGGGGGAAGAGAGGCTGTGGTGGAGCCATGGGGGCGCACTTCTAACCAGCGTGCCGTGAACTCGCATTGTGGCTCGCTGGGAGTGTGTTGGAAGGCTGCTGTGAACGCGAAGGCGCTCGGGGCAGCTGCAATCTGGTGGGATGGAGGCGGGGTGTGGCTGCTCAACCCCGCAAAGACCTGCACATGTTATGCAACGCAGGCACAAACTGGTCACAATACAGTGGAATGCACACAACAACTTGAAGGATCAATGCAAAACCCACAAGAAACAGAAATGCACTCAAACGTTGACCATGTTCAGATCAGGCCATCGAATGCAGAGGTTGTAGGCGATACAGCATGCTCCATGACTAACTGCATTCGAATGCTTCATGACTGCACTCGCATGCGTGATGTCTGTATTTGCCTGGTTCATGACTGTATGCGCACTCCTCCGCATGCAACAGATCAATGGGCTGCTGACACCTATCACACACCAGCACCTCCCCTCCCCCCACCGCCCCCCCCACATGCGCCTCAAACTCCCCCAGCCGCTGCTGCTGCTCCCGCAGCCCTGCAGTCACTGTTGACAGCTGCAGAGGGAAGGGGGCATGCCAACGGAGGGATGGGAGGGAGACTCCAAGCACATAAAGCGATCAGAAGTTCAAGAGCTGGTGCATGAGTGTGGGGCAAGAGGTGCTAGGCGAATGTGAGGATGCCATGCTCCCTACGTGCTTGCAGTCTGGCAGGTTCTCAACACAGCAAGCAACACTCCCTCTCCTCCCAACCCCATACACCCACTCCCTCCTCCCTCGCACACACCTCGCCCTGCAGGGACGCGATGCCAGTCATCAGCGCTCGCTCCCTCTCCTCCATCCCCTCCTCCTCCTCGCCCCACCCCGCCCTACCTCCACCCACTCCCCCCATCCTTGTGCCTCTCTCCCCCTCCCCCCTAGATAGGGAGGCGAGCACGGAGGAGTGTAGGGCGAGGGCGTGGGAGTGCGAGAGGGCCATGGCGGTCTGCAGGCGCGGAGCCACAGTGGACGCCAGCTGCTGTCAAGCTGATGCCAGCTATTGCTTCGCCCCGTGCTGCTCCTGCCCCACTCGCTGCTGCCGCACCGCCCTGGTGGTGGGCGAGCGGGTGGGATGGGGAGGTGAGGGCGGTGAGGGGGAGAGGGAGGTGGCGGGTGGTGGCATTGGTGCGCACTGACTCATCCCACATGAGATCGCCCTCCCAACAGAGGCCGCCCCACAGCACGTGCATGCAGGAGGGATGCAAGTAGAGCAATGCGACCGGAGGTGCAGCAGGCATGGGGTCGAAGGTGGTGCAAGGAGGGGGCAATGTGGCTCACCGGTGCTCCTCCCAGGTGTTAAGGCACCCTCTGCTTCTTCCACCTGATATGCGGCCATGGAAGAAGAGAGCACGATGGCATGGGGTCGTGCACCCAGGGAGTGCACCCAGGGAGTGCATAGCGTAGAAGGGCAGAGGTGTTAGAAGGAAATGCTGCCATTAGCAACAAAATTTCTGCGCTGGGATTCGAACTCGTGACCTTCATATCTGTCCTGAAAGTGTCTCAGGACAGTTTTTGCTAAGGCACTGGTTATGGTGCACGCGAGTTTCGAACTGGAGACCTTTCGATTCAAGTGTCCCAAAAGTGTCTTGTCAGGACAGATTGGGGTCAGTTTGGGGACACATTGGGGACAGTTTGGCAAAATCGATCTTGGGTCGCGTTCGGTTTGAAACTCGGCAGCGAAGTGTCGAAGTCAACGGAATTCGCACGGGAGTTACAGCCGGTGGTCGACGGAATTCTGGTCGCGGAAATTGTCGTCTACGGAATTCAAGTCAATGGAATTCGCTCGGCGAAATTCAAGGCTCCGAATTTCGCGTCGACGAAATTCAACGTGCGACCCGGGTCCACATTTTCTTGTGTGCTTTTATTTTGTATTCCGTCCTAGTATAAAACCAGAGAGCAGAAACCAGAAATCAACCAAGTCACTATCAGTGCTATGTTTGTGTGTATCTTTGGCTATAGTGGACCATTTCCTGCAATCTTTGGTGCGTTGGAATCGTGCTTTCGAGCTCTATCAAGCTGCTATAGTAGTGAAATTCTACATGGTATCACAGCTGCGTTATCTGCGTCGATCCAACTAGTGGCTTGATTCCGTCCTCCCATCACTTCGTTCCCGCGTTGGTGTGGCTGACGCTCGTTCTAACCGCGGATGGAGTGGTTAACGAGCGTCGAGGGCCTGAATGCCCGTCGGGAGCTAGAGGCGTCCGTTCGTGAGCACCACCCTAACCTGCGTGATGAGGAGGTCGACCTCATTGTGGACGGTCGTCTACTACACATGGTTCGGGAGCGCGCGGCGGAGCAAGCACCTGCGAGCAGCCATCAAGGAGGAACCGGTGAAGGAGGAGCTGTGCACGAGGCTCCAGCTGCCGTGGGCGTTGGTGGAGGAGCTGTTGCACCGACCATTGACACGGGAATGATCGGGGCGAGCTACGGCCAATTCAAGTTTGGAGTAGAGCACATCTCCGTGACGCCACTGCTGGAGGGAAGGCACGACCTTACGGCATGGGTCAGCGCCATCCAACCTCAGCTCCAGTGCACTGATTTGTGGCAGTTTTGCAACGGGACAGCACCAAGCCCGGCCCAGAACAACCCTTTACAACGAAGGGAGTATGCAAAGGGCCAAATGCTTGCATTCATCATGCTGAACCGATGTGTTTCTCCACCCATCCGAATGTCTATCTCTGGTTTCTCTCAGCAAGAGAAAGCTGGGCAGCAAGCATTGGCACATATCTTGTCTACTTATCAAGCTCGTGATGCCCTCCACGCTTCCCTACTTCAGACCCAGTTAGCCCAACTCAGGAAGGGAGATGATGAGACGGCGGAATCCTACTGCAATAGGGCCCGCACCATCCGAGCGGAGCTGCTGACCATTGGACAGGAGGTCCACATGGCCACGTTTGCCGCTCAGGTGCTGAAGGGCCTGCCACCGGAGTACGGATTTCTTCGCCGCAAGCTCGACATTTCCAGCCCTGATATGACGGTGGAACGCGTGTGCAGCGAGGTGTTGATGGAGGAGCAGACCCTCTCCATCGAACAGAGCTACAAGCAGATCACCAGTGATGCATCGGATTTCTCTGGCGATGTCAACGCAATCGTGGCTACGACGGGGGTCGACGGGAAGGAAGGGAAGGGAGGAAGGGAGCAGATGGACAAGAAGAAGGATGGCAACCTGGAGAAGAAGCGAGCCCCCTTCAAGGGGCGCTGCTACAACTGCAATGAGGAGGGGCACATGGCTGCCAAGTGCTCCAACAAGAAGAAGGATACAACACCCGCGGCAGCCGCGAACGTAGCCGAAGGAGACGGGAAGGGCGTGGCGCTCACCGTCGCGTGTTCGGCTGCAAAGTTGCTGGCCGACGACAAGGACTTGTGGTTCCTTGACTCGGGATGCTCCTAACACATGACCGGCCGAAAGGAGTGGTTCACGGTGATCCGTGACCCATCTGCAACGAAATCCGTGGTTTGATGGGTCTTTGCAGCAAGTTGCCGGTGTTGGCGAGGTTTTGCTGAAGGGCACTAATGGCTTCCGTTTGACCCTGCATGATGTCCTCTTTGTGCCAGGAATGAAGGCCAACTTGGTCTCTCCTGGGCAGCTCACGGACAAACGAGCAAATCTGCAAACCAAAGAAGGTGTCACCCGCATCATCGCATCGGGAGGACAAGTGGCTGCAACGGCACGCTACCGCCATCGTCTTCTCCGCCTTGACCTGAAACCGTGGCCAGCAAGCAACGGCACAACGTCAGCAGCGGCATGCAACGGCACAGTGGCTACAGCGGCTTGCAACAGCATTGACGGCTGGAGCGGCATGCAACGGCACGGTGGCTGCAGCGGCCTGCAACGGCGCGGCGGCCGGAGCAGCATGCAGCGGCACGGTAGTTGCAGTGACATGCAATGGCATGACTAAGGCGGTTGCTGACGGAGCGGCCAGCCTTAAGACGTATGCGGTGGGCTCCAAGGCAACGCCCAACCTGTGGCACGCTCGCCTTGGACAAGTCCACTTCGATGCGGTGAATCGGACAGCCACGAGCGGTGGCGTGTTAGGAATGGACCTTGAGAAAGGAGGTGAGGATATGCCATGCACCTCTTGCCATGAAGCCAAACTCACTCGCGAATCATTTCCGCTGCACGACGAGCGCGAGGAGCAGGTTCTTGGGCTGGTCCATACTGAAATGTGCGGTCTATTTCAGACCCCAGCCATGGATGGAAGCATGTACTACATTCTGTTCGTGGACCACGCCTCATGCTACTCCTGGGGGAAGACGTTGAAGCTGAAGAGCGACGCGCTTGCTGCCTTCAAGGAATGGCTTCCCGAAGCTGAACGCCAAACCGGGATGACGTTGAAGGTGTTGCGGTCGGACAGGAGAGGAGAGTTTATGTCGAACGAGTTCCTGCTACTGCTGAAGCAATGAAGAATCTTGCGTCAACTTTCCTGCCCCTCGACCCCCCAGCAGAACGGTGTGGCTGAACGCCGCAACCGTACGGTAACCGAGGGCATGCGCGTGATGTTGGGGCACATGGGGGTGAAAGCACACTGGTGGCACTTCGCTTTCTAGCAGTTTTTGTGGGTGGTAAACCGTGTGCACCAGCCACCCTGCCCCATGGTGTGACCCCTCATTTGGTGGTGTTCAAAGTCAAGGCTGATGTGTCCATGGTCCAGGTGTTTGGGTGCATGGTGCAATACCTCATTCCTGAGCGTGAGCGTGAGGGGAAGCTTGCACCAAGACTCGTTGGGGCATGCACTTGGGCATGAGCATGGAAAGCAAGGGATGGAGTGTGGTGGATGTTGAGTCAAAGCGCATGGTTATCACCCGGGATGCACGTTTTTATGAGGACATGTCACTTGAACGGTGGCAGAAGTGGCGTGCACGCGTGGGAGACGGGAATGACCAGCCCACACCACCCTTTGCTTCAGTCCCATCTCTCTTTCCTGAGCACCGCGACCCCGAGAAGAACCCGCCGCCACCACGTACCGTCATCGTGGTCACGGTACCGTCCGTGCAAGGGTGCGAGCAACCCCTTTATCGCTCGGTAGGCCCTTTGGGCAGCAAGCCACCTACTGCACCTCCTCCTCTCGGTCCACCCTCCGTTGCTGATTCGGCGCCCGTGGGACCAAAGGATGGTCCTCTGGAGGTTGGCACCAGCATGGCTGATCACGAGGAGAGAGAAGGAGAAGTAGCAGTGGATGAGCAATCACCAATGACCCATGAGCATGCGCCTACACCTGCAGTTCCCCCCATCCAGCCCATTCCACCACCCCCACGTCGCTCCAACAGGCCTAACAAGGGGGTGCCACCCGTACAGTTTCAGCCATCAGCCATGACGGCCCAGGACGCGGACGATGAGGACAACCCGTACGACGTGGCGTACCTTGCTGAGGACGATTGCGATACGGACAACGATGACGAAGTGGAGTACCCGGACGAGGATGAGGAGGAGGAAGGCGCTTGGGGAGGTGTCATCCTCGACTTGGCAGCTGCGTTGACCGGACCTGAAGGCAATGAATGGTGGGCTGCTATGAAGGAGGAGATGGAGAGCCTTTATGAGCAAGGCACTTGGACGTTGGCTGACCTACCTGAAGGTCGCAAAACCGTCGGCGTCAAGTGGCTGCTAAAGAAGAAGCTGCGGCCTGATGGCACCGTGGAAAAGTACAAGGCCAGGCTTGTGGCTAAGGGCTTTAGCCAGCGCTTCGGCATCGACTACGACGACACTTACGCTCCTGTTGGCAGCTACACCACCTTTCGCGTGCTCCTCTCAATCGCAGCAGCTATGGACCTGGATTTGCTGCAGCTTGATGTGAAGAATGCATTTCTTCACGGCACTATCGACCACGAGATCTACATGCAGCAGCCGCCCTACTTCACCGACGGTAGCAGCAAGGTGTGCCTCCTGCAGAAGAGCCTTTACGGGCTAAAGCAGAGTCCCCTTCTGTGGTACAAGGAGCTGGACAAGGTGGTCCTTGTGGAGGGGTACAAGAAGAGCCTTGTGGACCAGGCCCTCTACTACAAGGATGGGGCAAGCGGGAAGCGCGTGTGGCTGCTAATCTACGTGGATGACCTGCTAGCGGCAAGTGAAGACCAGCAGCTGCTGCAGGACCTGAAGGGGCTGCTGGCCAAGGAGTTTCAGCTCCGTGAGGTGGAGCCAGTGGAGCGCTACCTGAGGCTGCAGATTGTGCGCGACCGTTCCAACAGGACACTCCTCCTGCACCAGAATGCGTACGTGGCGAAGGTGCAGCAGCTGTTCTTCAAGGGGGCGCCACCGAAGAAGCAACCAATCACTCCTCTCTCCTCTGCCAGCTTTGCCAAGCAGGATGCCGGGCAGTTTGCCAACCGTACTATGACTGAGTACTTGTGAATTCTCGGCATGGTGCAGTTTGCAGCCATCTCAACCCGTCCTGACCCCTCTTTTGCATGCAGTCGCCTTGCAGCAGGTGCACACCTCAGGACGGATGCACATTGGCATGAGCTCTTCCGCACACTCTCCTACTGGGCTGCCTCACCGGACATGGGGCTGCTGTTCAAGGGAGGACCAGAGAGTTTGACTCTTGTGGGGTATGCGGATGCGGATGATGCAGGCGACAAGGAGAGTGAGGTGGAAGCGGGAAAGGAGGGGCGCAAGCTAAGGTTCCTGCTGTGGGAGTTTCAGCTGCTTAAGAAGGGTGTCCCCCCCACCCTGTACGTCGACACATGTCAGCGGTGCAGCTCAACCAGGCGGGCGGGCTGCAGGGGCGCATGAAGCATGTGGACCGTCGCCACATGTGGCTGCAGGACATGGTGCGCATGAAGAAGTTGGAGCTGCAGCACATCCCTACGACTGCACAACCAGCAGACTTCTTCACGAAGCGGCTCGACAAGGCAGCCTTCAACAGATGCTCTGCAGCAGCCAGACTGGTCCAGCATGATCCTGACAGCAAGGGGGCGTGTTAGAAGGAAATGGTGCCATGAGCAACAAAATGTCTGCGCTGGGATGTTAACTCGTGACCTTCAAATCTGTCCTGAAAGTGTCTCAGGACAGATTCAGGACAGTTTCAGCTAAGGCACTGGTTATGGTGCATGCGAGTTTCGAACTGGAGACCTTTCGATTGAAGTGTCCCGAAAGTGTATAGTCAGGACAGATTGGGGACAGTTTGAGGACACATTGGGGACAGTTTGGCAAAATCGATCTCGGGTCGCGTTCGGTTTGAAACTCGACAGCGAAGTGTCGAAGTCAACGGAATTCGCACGGGAGTTACAGCCGGTGGTCGACGGAATTCTGGTCGCGGAAATTCTCGTCTACGGAATTCCAGTCAATGAAATTCGCTCGGCGAAATTCAAGGCTCCGAATTTCGCGTCAACAAAATTCAACGTGCGACCCGGGTCGACACTTTCTTGTGTGCTTTTATTTTGTATTGCGTCCTAGTATAAAATCAGACAACACAAAGCAGAAATCAACCAAGTCACTATCACTGCTATGTTTGTGTGTATCTTTGAATATAGTGGACCATTTCCTGCAATTTTTGGTGCGTTGAAATCGTGCTTTCGAGCTCTATCAAGCTGCTATAGTAGTGAAATTATACAAGAGGCGCATGCGAATGAGAATGAGAATGAATCACTTGACAGCGGCATGGAATGAGGCGTGACGAGGAGATGCGACGAGGAAAAAGCTGACTATCACTAGGACGTTGCAAGCATCGAAGAAGATGCACTCTTCCTGCACACCCCTCCACCCTCCCCGGTCCGCACCCACCATGCGCTCCAGCTTCTTGACGGCCTCCCTGCGTGCCGCCAGGCCGCCCCTCATCTCCCCGACGCGCGCCTGCAGCACCTTCACCGCCTCCTTGCTGCGCGCCCTGCCCGGCCCCCACACGTCCATGCCCACCAACCCACTCAGCTCCGCCTGGTGGGCGGGCAGAGGTGCATGAAAGGATGCAGGGAGGGGTGAGAGAGGGCTCATGGAGTGGTGCAGAAGGAGAGAAGCAGGGGAGCAAGAATGAGGGAGATGGGTGGGGCGTGGAAGTGGATTGAGTGGCGAGGGTGGGGGCACATGTGGGACGTGTGGGTGAGTCATAGTTTGGAATGGGCAGGAGCGGATGGAAGTGGGGGGAGAGGAAGCATGCAAGGGACGAGCAGAACGTAGAGACGAGAAAGCATGGGAAGGAGGGACAAATGGAAGGAGTAGAGAGGAGAGAAGAAGGCAGTGGGAAATGGACAAGGCGGGAGCGCAGGGAGATGAAGAGTGCGAGGGGAGAGGGGGAGTGGGCGGGGATGCCTTGAAGTCGGCGTCGTTGGCTTCGAGCAGTGCGGCGGTGGAGTGCTGGCCGAAGAAGACGGTGCAGGAGAGGAGAGACGTGTCCCTGTAGCTCATGCGCATGCATAGAGGTGCCGTCACATACACACCCATGCACAAACATGCACACCCAT